AAAATTTGTTTGTAGGGGTTTTAAAGAAAAAAATAATACTTTTGTAACTTCCTTGTCGATTTTAAAAGTTTTCTACAATTATTGTGCAACAATAATATTTTGTCGCATAAGATGAACAACATTATAATATTTTAAAATTAAAAAAACGAATCATCAGTAAACTTACTATTGTAACTTGTAGTCGTCGCAGACAGTCGAACTGACAATAAAAAAAACATATATTCCAAGTAGATATAGGTAACAGTGGATAATTACCGGGCTTTAAAATTGTTTAATTTTTATTTTGATTGAAATGTTTTTACAGGTCCTACCCGTTCTGTGTTAATTGCGGGTATCTGAAAAAGTGGACTAATAAAAAATATGTATACCTATATTAAGTGGTCCGATATAGCCGTCAATAATAAGTAATAATAATGTTATATAGGCGTCCTGATGGATCACGGTAAAAAAAAAATAAACCTGACGAAGCGAGGCGAAATTAATACTATTATTTTGACCCGAGGCACTAATTTTCACGCCACTCGTTTAATGATATTCGTGGTTTTTTTTTTGCACTTTGGCGCCGCCTTCGTCCCGTGTTGCTGCATTGAAATAAGACTCTAAGCATATACTAGCAAGAGTCAAGACATACACACACAAAAGACTTTGGGCGGGAAAAACGTTACACGACCGCATAGAACGCGTACCGATGTTCCATAATGTGTAATTATATTGTTATTATTAACCGGCTAAATTATAAATTCAACGTCTGTCCACTCCTTATTGTCTTAAAAAAAAAAATTAATACAATGACCATAGAAGAGTCGGGGCGGCGGTCAGCGGTGGACATGGTACAACGATTTTCCAGATATTAGACCAATGGCTATACTTACACCATATTATAAAATGTGATACATGCATTTACACAAATGGGGCAAATGTATTTTTTTTTTTTGTTATAAAAAGTAGTTGAAAATTGTTTTAACCAAATATTTTCAATTAAATAAATGTACTACACGATTAATAAAAAAATAGAAAAATTGTTGGTTTTTTCTAAAAAAAAAAAAAAATGCATTGTTTTTCTAATTTGTTTACAATTATTACATTCTAATAGAATTTGTGCATTTAATTATCTTTTTTATTAACACAGGAGTGCATACTTGCCGAACAAGAGTCTCGAAAAACTGTTTTATCCGCAAACATTGCTGTTAGAACTTTGTCAGACACAATCATCGTTCTTGGGAATAACTTTTTCAAGCGTTTTGGGTTTTAGAAATCGTAACATCTGAAATTTCGTTTGAATCTAGCCCATATGAGTCACACGTGTGATTGGTATTTGCATCAACAACAAAAAAATTAAGTCTGATGCAACGGGGCATATTTTTTTACGGTGAATTTTTTTTTTTTTACTCCTTTTACCGATGCAACGGGATAGTCAAAAACTACTGTACCTATATTATTGTGTTTTTTTTTTTTTAACACGGCCAATGACTGTATGACTAATCGCGTCCAGCCCGTCGCAGCTGTACAGGTCAGTGTTGCTCTCGTCTACGTTGTATATGTGTATCCTCTGGCCACGTTTATTAGCCTTTCGGTTTCACGATTTATCATGCACATTACAATACACCTTCTTCGCTCCCCCCCCCCCACCCTGCCCTCGCACAGTGGGTCTTTTGTACGTTAGCACATCTAATATTAACAATAAAAAAAAAAAAAGAGGACAAGAGGCAAAAAAAAAAAGAAAAGAAAAATCGTACATAATAATAATATAATATCATAGCGTTTACCCGTCGATTCCGACCGAGAGAGAGAGAGAGTGCCTGTACCTGTGATATGACTCATAGAGCAAACCGCTGACGTGGATACACCTGATGGGCCAATGATCGTTTGAAGAAATAATAATAATCATAATCGTACTGTATGTATTATAGATTTAGAGACAATATTTTTAATAGCAACATAACGTTTTCTTCAGGTTCTTGCCGTCGCCCAATCGAACCGATAGCGGAACATATTATCATGTTTATCGCAAAACGATTAGTGATAAACGGTACATATAGGTATTGTTATCTAAAACGGCTTGGATCGATTTCCCCAACCCGTTGACCGATCTTGACTGGAACGATAGTTCTATTCAGTCAAATCCTATAAGCTTAGGAAACAATCTCCTCTTGTTTTCTCTGCAACTATAATATGTTTCCTCCTCGCCCTCACATCACCAGGGCCTGATTCGGACAATATTCAGCACCATTAGAACCAATAAATTAAATATAATGCCTACCCAAAAAATAATTTTTACCATCATAACTGACAAATTTCAATCCTAACTGTTTTTTTTTTTTAAACATAAAACATAACTCCATAGAGCATATGTACATCTGTGATTTCTACATTGTGCAATTATTGAAGTGAGACCTATTTAATTTGGGGGTCATAGGGGCACGTATCAATCTTGCCCAATGGGTAAATATAACATTTGGCCCTGCACATTACTCGCCCGAGTGTAAGTAAAGACAATATTAATGTACGATCTCCCATATGCGATATAGCGTACAACACCGTTTGTGATTTACCCAATAATAATATTATCAAGTACATGTAATACAAGAGATTATTAATATTATTGTGCTATTCCGCATTTGTTTTACAATGTATTTTATACACACTTTACACACACATGCGGTTGACGTTGACAAGACAAATCTCTCTTATGTGTAGTGTTATATTAGTCATCGAACACCTGCGCCAGTAAATCACTGGAGAGTGTATCGATACTAAGCGTATACCGTGTTTAGCAGTGTAGAGTGGGAAATCAGAAAAGAATTACAGCGTTTATTTATTTTTTAAATTAACAAGTTACATTATTATATTTTACTATACCTATATTGTTTATATACTATACCTACATTGTCAGTTTGTGTAAGCTATTCACCGGTGGACCGTTTGAGGTACATTAATATTGTATATTATAGACAATTTTCTGATTTCGTTTTTGACGGATCGTTATGGATAAACCTAATCAAATTGCGTTTTTAAAGTCGACCAGCAGATAAGAACAACACCTACATATACCTATTATGTATAATAATACATTTATAATGAAGAAATAATTGATTATTTTTAGTTTTTTTTTTCCACTGACAAGTCTGTCCGGTTTGTGCATTATTGTAATTATCGCCTATGTTATCAGACATATAAGAGATATACAATTATTATTATGCACAAAGAAATAAAGCAGCGGTTCTATTATTTACCCTCGGCGCGGTGACAGATAATAAACGTTATCAACGGTGATACGTGATACGCATAAAACATTATATGTATATGTTCAAAACGGACATATAACTGTGTGTTAATAATTTTCGTTTGTCTTTATAATAAAATATTATACCTTCCGTTTTTATATATACGCATTAAAAAAATTACCATTTATAATATTATCGCAGCTCTTTAAATTTTATCAAAAGGTAAATATTAAAAAAAAAAACATTTTTATCTGTTTTATCGCTAACGCAAACGTTATGTACCGATCGTTATAACTATATCTGTATCATGAGAATATTATAAATGTATTAAAAAAAAAAATTGGTTATTTAAATATTACAATTTTATATTTAATATAATACAATTATTGAATACGGTTAAAAATAAAACAAAACGACTCAAAGTGAACAGCCGAATATGTTTTTTTTTCGCAGATCAAGTTTGTTTGTCCTAGAATAATATTTAGTTTATAATTGATTGCAAACCCCTTTGGTGAATTTAAACATTGTTATCAACTAATCATTCATTTTTGTATTGACCTACAGTCAATGACCGTTTGTCTAAGCGGGCAGATTTACATTAGAATTATATGCGTTTAACTTGAATAGAAACCAAAATAATATGTAAAAAAAAATTTATCCGTACGTTTTCTGCGAGTGTCAGTAGCTCAAGTGTATTGTATATAGTGTATACTTTGCTTATTGTATTGTCATTGAACAGCACACTTAGGTCTGTTGTTATGTCGTATACTTACGCCTGTGCGCCGATAAATCGATTATTAATCGTCTTCCACGATGAGATATTATATTTTAATTGTTTTAAAAACTATAATACCTAATGGCTAGTTTTGTGTTGATTTTTGCTTTTACACTTGCGTAAGTTATACTGTGTGATGTCATATCAACAGAGTTGGGACTAAAATATTATGTTTAAAGAGCATTTTAACTGTATGCCAGCCACGATGGGAGAATATTTGTCACTCCACAAAAGGGTTCAAAAGAAGACGTCACAATTGCCAATTTTTCGATTAGTGAAGACATAAGTGGTACCTCTATAGGTTAATACAAAAAAAAACACACAAACTTAAACGATTTATAAAACATTGTTAGAACAAGACAATTGTAATTTTTTATGCGCAATTTATACCAATAAGTATATTTTTAAAATACTTAAATCATATCAAAACACTGTGACGGGCGGCGGCGGCTGTCTCGAGAAACACCGTACGAGAGTGAGAAAGAGCGAGACCGTCTCGAAGGCCCTCTCCTTTGTCGAGGGGAGGTAATAGAGGGGCGGTCGGGGGAGCAGGCAGCGGGTGTCCCCTCGTCCGTCCGGCGTACCGCGGCATCCCGTCGAGGGCCGGGTTTCGGGGGGCAGCCCTCGCGGACGCCGCCCAGCGGCCGCGGCGATTGGCCCGAAAAAAGCGCGGGATAGCGTCCCGCCGAAAAACGTGGACCGCGCGCGCGTCCCTCCGTCCCGGCGCGGCCGTCGGGTGCGTCGCGGCACGGGCGGCGGGCGGGCGGCCGACGGTGTCTTCGGTGGTCTTGGCGCGCGTCGGCCGCACCGCGACCGCACTCAGTATCGTTCCCGACGCCGCGTCGCTTGGTGGTGCCGCACAGCAGCCGCCGCCGCCCGCTCCCGCCTGGTACCTCAGCTCGCCGCAGCCGCCGCCGCAGCGCTCGACGACGACGACGACGACCGCGCACGCCGCCGTATACACACATACATACACGCACGCACGCGCTCCTCGCGACAGACACACGCACACCGCACGGACGGCTCGACGCGCGAGCACAAGGCCCGTCAGTCGTTGGACCACGCGCTACTCTTCCGGGTGTCCAGTGAATCGGTTACCTCTGCCCGAGTCGCACGGACTTCTCTGTACCTACTACTGTCGTCGGAGTGTTGTTTATGAAAATTAAAAATTTTACGTTTGCGTTCGTGTGCGTTATTTGTATTACCGCAAAAATAAAAAGACTTTGAATATTTTTTTTTTTTTTGTTTACGTTTTTCGAAAAAACCTAAATAGTGTTCCAAAAACATTTTGGATTTTTGTTTGTGTTTGTCGAGTGCGTTTCGGCTTGATCACTTTGCCACGGTCGTAAGGCGTTTTTTTTTTTTTGCTTCGAACTTAATTAATTTCGAAGAAGGATAAAAAAAAATTTTATAAAAAAAAACTATATCTTGGTGGACAATTTTTCTTTAAACAAAAAAAATCACCCACCATGGCTATACCGTTTAACTTGCCGGCCGAACGCGACCCCGAAGATCATCATTATCTGAGGATCGAGAATTTGCTCAAAGAACTGCTCACGTTGCTCAGATGGACTCCTTGGACTTCTCTTACCGGTAAGTCGTCGCGAACGGACTTTGAATTTTTCGGCCGCCCTTCCCCACAATTATTTCCGCATACGCGCGAAGTGGTAATTTTTGTATTATGTAAAACTAAAAAAATAATTACAACGACGATAATTCGAAGACGTTTGAATAATTAAATTAAATTATATTATATTTAAAATTTTTTTTTCAAGTACCTACCTACCGTCGCGGTATGACTTGTACAAATATCCAACAATGCTATTTTCCGCGGACCTCGGTGAAAAAATAATAACAATATAAATAAATCATCGCAATTAAAAAAAAAAAAATAATAATAAAACAACCTTTTTTTTACCGTGTCATCGACCTTGTGCGATTCGGATATTTATAATGTTTTTGCGAAAATCTCGATAAACAACTCGGGAAAAAATTATTCTAACGTTTGCGAATTATAAATTATTATTTTCAAGTTACTATACAAAATAGTATAATATTGATTTATAAAGAGTTTTCCACGTTTATCGCGAAAAACCACCGAAGTCACGCGATCGCCGAAAACGGAACAATTTTGTTTAACGTCGCCGAATAAAAAAAAAAAATTAGTAAGTCGATGACTTAAAAAATAAAATAACATTGAAATAATAAAATCCTTGATGGACCCGACCGTCCGCACACGGAACCTTTCTTGTAGGAACCTGTCGTCCAATATTCTTCTCCTAAGGTCACCCACCCGATGTGAACACTACACTGTTCTCGCGCCTTCTCAATACACACACACACACGAGCAGTACATATAATAATAATATAATAGGCGTCGTCGATGACAGTTAAGTGTGAACGACCCGCGGTCCACCGTCTCGTCTCGACGTTACCTTCTATTTTTATTGTATATTTATTTTTTTAAAGTAATAAAATTAAAAAAAAAATCTAACAACAAAAAAAACGCGCGTAAATCGAAACAGGAATAAAAATCATTTTAGAATAATAAAAAAATTTAAATACAAACTGTTTATATTGTAGTTTTTTGCTTTACCGGCGCCAATGTGAAAGAAAAATTATTATCCGTCGTCGACATCTTATTTTTTAAAATTTTTTTTTCTAAATTAAAATCGCTGTTCTGTTTTGCCGCGCGCGTGACACACAACCGTGTCAGTGTCGAGTGTGTCACGAGGTAAAAAAATAACGTTATAAGGAAATTATTCACAAATAAGATACACATATAATATAATTATTATTTCTTGTCCGGCATTAGGTACCCTTTGGCCCGCGCCGGCCGATATTAACCCCTCTAACGGTTAGGTTGGATTCAATCAAACTGTACCTAGGTATTTCTTATATTATACTTTACTAAGTGTTGCAACTCTTGTTGGCGTTTGCCGTGCAGGTGTTTCTGTGGAAACTTCGTCGACCACCACCACCACGGCCGAACCACCTACTGCGGGCCAGCGTCGCCGGCAGACCGTCCGAGGACCGGACCATCACAGGCGGACGTCCGGCGCTCAACAGCAACAGTTACCGGACTTGATCAGGTCTTGCACGCCCAAAGTGGCCGCCGCCGCCGAGAAGAAACCCACCAGAACCGTGTTCCTCCAGGTGGAACTGTGCCCGACTTGCTATTACAACAGCCAAAAGTTGAAGGTGCTCGGCGTGACCAAGTTGGAAAAATCGTCGGCCGACCAACAACAACAGATGACCATCGCCGACCCGGGCGCGGTGTCACCCAGAATCGCCGCCGAATCATCACCAACGATCGACGTGAGTACAAACGAGAATTGTTTTTTTAAAAAAAAATTAGTTTAACATACTTAAAAAAAAAAAAACGTAGCTTCGAGCTAACAAAATCCACAAAAAAAAAATATATTTAAACGTTAAAAAAACTTAAATTAAATATTTTTTTTTAAATATATTTCCACAACCCCCATATTGTAATTGTGTTAGTCTACAATAATTTTTCGTTTTTTGTTTTGTTTTTCGATACACAGATGGACGACGCGGTCGCGGAAGACAGTTCAAAAGTAAAACGGCGACTGATGTCGTTGTTGCAACCTTCGAAAATCGACTCGTCCATACTGACGGCCGTGTTTGTAATAATCGGTTGGAAGATGTTCATCAAACAATAATCGGTACCTATCTACACCTATCTACCTAACTACCTATACCAAGTTCATCGCGACAACGTGAGAAAATTAAAAAAAACAAAACAAAACGAGAGAGAGAGAGAAAACACAATTTTTGTACGTCTAAAAGACTCGAAAGTTCCAGTCATGGTTTTAGTGACTATTTTTTTTTTTTAATAATAATAATAATAAAAAAAAAAAACTTATATTTTTTATGCTAATCAAATCGACCCGTTGATCTCAAATATTATTGCTTGCTGAATTGTGAGATGATCCGCAACCGTAGCCAAACATTTATTTTTTTTTAAATTATTTTTTTAGTTGTACCTTTAGTTTATTATTATTATTCATAATATTATATAAAACGCACGTCTATCGTGATCTATAGACGCGCTTTTGTTTTTACTACTACTGTACATATACATATATATTTTTTATTTTATTTAATACGTTTTTTGTGTACTTATAACTTTTTTTTTTTTTTGTAATTAATCTCTATATTTCTACGCTTTTTCTGTTGTATTTTAATATCGTTTCACATGGAAATTCTGCGGTTTCAGTCCCAGATCTGTTCACGTTTTGATCTCGTTTTTGTAAAACTATAGCTTTTGGAACGGCATCGCCGACCGAGTCGATTGGCCGGCGGTTGAATTAGTACGAAACGCTGTAATAATTTTTTTTTAATTTTATTATTCTCACTGTACATAAATATAATAATACTACTTTTTAATTTTCCTATTAACGTACTTTTTATTACACGACTCTTTTTTTTAAACAATTAAAATTCTTACAGTAAAAAAAAAAAAAACACAAATTCTCTGTGAACGTTTTTTTCTTGTTTCTCTTGGGTACTTTTTTGAATATTTTTTTTTTTCATTTTTCGAAACGGTTGGGGTCTAACGGTACGCGGCTACTACGCGCGTTCGGTTCGACGACGAGTTTGTAATATTGGAAACGTTATCATAATAACATGATAATCGCTCTGTGTAAATAATAATAAACGCTTGTTGGATTTTTTGTCATACCTAATAATAATAATAGTAATATAATAATAATATATCATTAAGTCGCATGTGAATTTTTTTCTGATTAATATTTTTTTTTATTTATAATTTTCATTTTCATTTTTTTTTTTTTAAGCATTTCTGTGGTGTTAAAAAACTTGCGAACGTCCCGGGTCGTTCATACGTTTCGAGCTTAAATTTAATATACACAAAGCGAATTTTCCACTTGGGCGTTCCTAGTTTCGCCCATCAAAGCGTTTCTGTGATTATGCCATTTTTTTTTATATACGATATATATATCATATATATATATACATTTTGTACATAAATATATATATAAAAAAAAAAAAATGATATTTATACATACATTAACTATTAACGATTTTTTGATCTCTTTTCGTAGGACATAAGTAGTGTTTTTTTTTTTTTAGATATTAGTGTAAATTTATTATTTTAGCGTTAGAGTAGGTACTCATAAGTTAAACATGTTGATGTTGTAATATTGTTAAAAACGATCATCTCTCTCTTCGGCGAACATTGTAACATTTTAATGGACTTGGCCACGTCAAAATCATATAAAGAGTTGAATAATAATAATAACAATAATTTGTATTGTCAGAAGACTTGATTATTATAATATAAGCGTTTTGTGATTGAACATTTTTTTTTTTTTTAGTATTATATTGTAGACATAGTTTTTTTTTTTTGAAATATTTATTTTATAATGTATATACACACACACATTTAAATTTTGCATACACATATGAAGATATTTATTTTAAATTATGTTTAAAAAAAAGCAAAAAAAAAAAATGAAATGTTTAATATTTTATCGTTGCAAAATTATTTTATAAAAATATGATATTATGTTAATTTGTGTTTTTCGATCTCGAATCAGCATATAATTATTGTATAATATTATTGTCATTATTGTTTACCCAAAAACATGTTTCCATACAACAACAAAACCGTGACTTGTCTTATGTTATTAAAGTATAATATTACAATGTGCATTTTCCTCCCCCTACCCCTGTTCTTAGAATGTAGTAGACTTTTAACGTTAGCCTGAAAATAATTTTAGAGCTAATTTTTATTATTATTATTTTTTTTAATCATAATTTTTGTACTCGGCGTGGGTACACCTATTGTACGGTGTCCGCTGCATCTTGCTACCGTTGTCTTTCTTTTGTATCATATAATATTATATTATAATATATTACCTACTATAAATACCTATAAAACATTTTGTTTGTTTTATTTAAAAAAAAAAAAAAGCTGAAATGAATTATTATATATATATATATATATATATATATATATACCTAACTTATTATCCGAGTGGATCGTATTATTATTATACATTATTATTATTATTGACGAAAAACAAAAATAAAAAACATATATTATTATAAAAAAATATCGGTCTGGCGTTTTTATTTCTTATATTTTATTCCTCGTGTGTTCGCAACAAGAGATGCACCCCCCCATTAACATATATTATTATAAGTACACAATATTGTGCGCGTTGCAGTGTGCAGTGGTGTATATATATGCATTGCGGCTGGACGGTAGCCGCTCCGCAACGACCGCAGAGATTCGTTTTATATACATACATCTTGTATACATATAGGTAGGTAAGTATATTATAAACTTATATCTGGTGTAAACCGACGGATCGACGATGACCCGTATATAATAATATAGTGGATGGGTGTGCACGCGGACATAAGATTATATTATTATAGTCTCTTGGTCACGACCGGCGGCCGTCGATCATGTATTAAAAAAAAAAACAAAATAATGTAAAGGTAAAGGGTATAGATATTACAACGTAGTATCGCGGCCTGTGTAATGTTGTAGGTTTTTTATTTTAAGTGAAAATTATCACCCAGACATTAAAAAAAAAAATGGTACGAATAAAAAAGATGACCGCCCAAGAAAGCGGATCGGCTTTTAGTGTATATCATTATCATTATATTGTAATGCAGTGTCGCAATACACACACATGCATACATACATATATAATAATATTATGATCATTACACGGGCAATTAAATTGTCATTAATTGCAATCGGCTTGGGCGCGTTAAAAATATCACAGCGCTTAGTGTGCACTGTACTCACGCGCACGTGCTGACCGCGGTAAAACAAAGCAATTACAATAATACTTGTAAATACATATATATATATATATATATATACACTACACACGATATAAAATTCTATATAAAAAGTTAAAATGTATCACACGGGCCTTGACTCGACGGGTCGACGTACCGATAAAAAAACATATATTATATATCCGCGTGTAAAGCGAAAAAAGTGATTTCAAACAATATATTATACTTAGGTATATAATAATAATAATAGGAAGAAAAAAAACTACTTCTGTAATTCTCGGAGGTTGTCGTTCCTTCGAACGCGTTGCATCTGTTGGTCTGGTACACTGTTGAACTTCAAACTTACCGCTTAACTTGGAGATGTATATATAAAAAAAATACAACTATTGAAATAAAATCTGTATACTCACCCATACTGAACGCGAATTTGATTTTTTACAATATCTACACAATAACATACATATCAAATGTTAAACGGGCAAGAATAAACTTTAAAATTACACTTCAATTTAAATGTTCTAAATCGCGCCAAAGATAGTAAAAGGTAGTATTATAATGGTTATTTTTTTTTTGGTAATGGATTACCAGACCACAAAGAATTTTGACTAAGACTTTTAATTTTATTACATATAAGTGACACTACTCTACTTTGGTAAAATTTAAATTAAATATAAGGCAAAATTTTTTTTTTTTAAACCCACTATTTGTGTAAACTCTAGATAGTACTCTTTATAACTTAAAAACGAATATTTCCCGTGTTTACTGTTTTTTAGTTATATAACAGACCGACATTTGTTAACTATTCTGTTTTTGATTGCGTTGAATTCGGATAACAGCTTTATCCAGGCGAGTACCTACAAAAATAACAGTGCTTGTGTTCAAATGGCAATGATAGACGTCGAATATAATATATACATATAAATGTGTTCAAGAACTTAATGATATCGTCTAATTCATCAATAATCATTGTGTTACATCCGCGGTCTGTCTGTGTGGATTGATTAAGATGTGTTTTTTAATTTCCCAAATAGTTTACACGCTAAAATTTTATTTCAGAAAATATATTCTCAAATTTGTATTGTTAGCCTGATTTAATACCGCTATTTTGTAACTCTCCTCTCTAAAAAAATACAAATTGCCTACATCCAACTCCTTAATAAACGAGTAAATTGCTGTTGTGCCGGTAATGCTCGCTTTTATTAAGGAGTCAAGTATAGGCAATACTTTATTGCGATTTCCATAATATAGAACTAGTGTTTTTTTTTTAAATTTAACTAGTTTTGGTCAAATGTGGTTATAATGTACAATACTATTATTTCATAAATCATTTACAGCGAGATCAATTCAACGTTTGACACTTATTTCTAAAAGTCCTTTTTTGCTTTTTTTTTGTGTTTTCGAGAGCCGTGTAAACTTTTTAAACTTAAAACGTATTTATTCGATTACCACTCGTAAATCGTTTAACGCTGTCCAAGCATTAAGTTGTTACTCTAAATAGGTACATGTTATATTAATTAAATTTTTTACACCTTAACCGGTCAGTGGCCACGCATAATCCTTTTTGGAGGTGTTTTTTTTATTTTTGAGAGAGAGTTTTGACTTACATTAAATATTATTACAATTTAGTCGGAAACGAGGCGCTAACTGCCAACATTATAATATGATGTTGGCTATTAGGTATATATGGATTTTGATTAACCGGTCGACCGGTTTGTTGTCGGTCGTTAACGGATCTGCGCGGTGCAGTGCCATTAGCCGTGTGTACACAAAATGTATATACACAGTGTGTATACTATATAGTGTACAATGCAGCGATATTGTTCTCCCCGGGTCCATTAACGCCTACTCTGCCAAGAAACGGCCACGGCACTTAACCTTGACCGCGGTTGTCGCTGGTGTGTTGCCGTAATTGGTTTATAAGCCAAGAAGAAGATTTACAAAATACAAACGCTATATAGTAAATATAATATTGTATGTATACAGCGGTGAGTTTCGGTGCCCAAGTTCGGTTTTTCATATTATATTATTGTTATTGGCCAGTTGTACATACGCCTCCGCAGTCGCATGTGCTACCTATAGGTACACCAAGACATTGCGGTATAACACAAGTACATTATTTTGTTTTTTCGATGGTAATTATATGTGCATAATTAAATCACGTTTATCAGCATAATATCGCGGTGGAATGTACTCACTACACGGGGCTATACCGGGTATAAGTTCACTCATATTTTGATTATGCTAATATATGAGTTTGGTATTTTCTCCAATTCCTACGCACATATGAATCGGGGTTCGTCGTTAAATCCCAAAGTTATTATAGTGTTATGTTCAACCGGAGGAACACGGACAAGCGTCTAGAACGTTATAACTTATCCCACAGAGATAGTATCGGCGACAGCCAAAAAAAAAAAAAAAACCTAATGAGTAATGTTTAGTACAACGCGGTGTACAGCTGTTATTAACACACCCAAAAAACACTAAAATAAAAATTATATTTAAATGTTCGTTTTTTTTATTTATTAGGCGAATTGATGAAAATATTAAATATATACTTACTCCTAGACGGTTTCTTAATGCGGCATTGTGTAATAATAATATTTTGGCGCCCTCGTCTCGGTGCAAATAATTCGCCGGCGGATTATGCGCCCAAACGAAGGGGAAAAGCGGCTATAAGAGTTGATTAAAAGATTATTATGTTTGGCGTTGATATTTAAAAGTTAAAATAATGATAAAACGTTTAAACCGTCACTCGGCCGGGTTCTTAATTAAGAATATAAAACTGTTGCTGCGTGTAAGATTGTTGTACCGCGTTAGTAAAAGTTGATTTCCTCGGGGCGGCGTGTAATCCTGCTGCACGTTCGGCGGTACACACAACAAAAGGGTTGCGAGCAAGTAGTTTAATACCTACCTCGGCGGGAAAGCGTTGAATTTTCGGTATTTCACATTAATAATGTAATTGAAAATTCCCGTCAGACGAACAGATTAAAAGCTCAACGACAGCCGCCGCCGCATTCACGGTGAATCCGTGTACTCGATTTTCATTATTTTCTTTGGGTATAGTGTGTACCTTTACAGAAGAAGAGTTCTCCCCGGACGATTCCGTTTGGTGTTGTTTTCTCAAAATGCTTATATGCGCGTTCTCCTCCTATAAGTTTGGCCCTAAACTTATACTTATTTTAGTTACAAAAACCAAAAAACATGTTTTTGATAATAAAAATACATTTTCAATATGCCTCTGTGTATACCTATTTGTGTTTTAAAACTTTACATGACATTTTAAAGGAATATAACCAACGCCAGCTATGAGACCAAATTGAAAGTATGATTTTTAGTACTTCAATTAATCAGTCTTACAATAATCAGATGCTTAACATCAGATACCTTCCTATTCCTGATTCATTAAATTCATTGACATTGTAGCACATTTTGGAAAAGTCTTTTAAAAAGTATATTCTAGTGTCGGCTGTTTGAAGACTTACAGGAGAGAGTGCTTGGATGGGTGACCACATTTTTTTATTTTAAGTTCTCCTGTACTTTCAAAGACAGGCGGATACGACTGTTCTTGAACAACTTTCGACGTCGACGGCGGCGGTGGTAATAATATTATTATAATCTGAGACGGCGGTTTGGCTGCCGCTTTTGTTCGGTTAACCGACGTGTACAAATGAAGCGGAAATAGTAAATGAATTTGGTTTTTTCGGTAGTGTGTGTCATCGTAAATCATCGAAGGCGCTTCCCCGCGACAGCTACGGTAATGGCTTTAAAAATAAATTTCGACAAACGAATTTCGCGTCCCATTGTGGCCCGCCGGCTCTTATATATGCATTGTATATTGTTATTACTATGTTGTGCGGCCCAAAAAAACCTCTCCTCGCCGCCCCCACGAGACCTCCGAGTATTATCTTTTGCCGTCGTCGATAAATAATGAATATTCTGCGCTCAGCTCTTTTACTTTTTTCCCCGTTGTTAGTCAAAAGTCTATTATATATATAGAGTATTACACCGTGTGCAGTTTACAGTGTACACATAGGTGGTACCTCTCTATACTTATCGCGGGTGCAGGATTTTTGCATATTGTACGCCGCAAACAATATATTATATCCTCCTCGTCGACGGTGTGTTAATATCATTATGATTTTTATAATAATAATAATATACACAAGAAGAAACCGCGACGACGACGACGACAATAGCCGCGTTCAAGGATCATCGGCTGTGTAACGTAATGATGCTGCTTCGGTATCGGATATGACATTATACAATACTTATACAATGATATCTACTATATTATGTACTAGGGTACTCGGATAGTGGTAATTAATAAGTGTTATTTTATCCGGTCGTTACACCAACATTAGCATAATGACGGCACCATATATATTATGCAAATAATAGTAAGAGATAATTACATATCCGCGATTCAATGTTTTTCCGTGGAGCAAAAAGAAAATATTTTGTTGCTAGATAAATTTTTCTTTAAATTTTCTGATGTATAACAGCGAAACCACTGTTTACAATGTTGCAAGACCCGTAAACGACCACCCTACATAATGCTTATGGTATCGTAGCTGTAAATCTAACAATTAACAGTTTTTAATTGTCATTGCTCAGATAGGTTGTGTGGTAATAACGTGCACAAAGGTTATAGGTTTCTAATGGACGTTTTATATTGTGCTAAACAGTCGAGCAGTCGCTATTCTGCAGACGACTATTAAAACAATACAACACACGTATAAACCAATCCCCTTTCCATAACGAGCCTTAAGTCTATACAACAATGCATTGCAGTTAAAATATAAAACGTGTATATCTCTATATTATACGTCATGTATATTATTCTAATCGGTCAATTTGTTGATTTAAAAAAAAAAAAACTCTACGTAAAAGACCGTTTAATGTTTCCACAACAGAACGGTTATTAAATGGTTATTAAGTAGTCCAAATGAGTTTTAAATTTGTTAAATAACAAAACGACCGGGTGTGTATCTCCAGTGTGGTCTCTTCGTTGTACTCTTTTTTTTTTTTTTTTAACTCATATTGTAATAGTGTGATTAATAAAAAGTAAAATATGCATAATATCAATTATAACCGATTATACGTGACTAACAAAGGATGATAATAATTTGCATTCATATGTGTATATTAAACTATGGGAATATTATTATCATTAAAATAATATTATTGTACCCACATTATATTTTTGAAAACTTTAAAAATATAAACTTACTTTCTCTGTAAACTATAGTACAGCCATAAACTTTATTAACACTAAAAAAAAAAATACATAATAAAATATTACTATTGTTCTATTTAAAGTGATATTGTGAGAATTTGACAAGTTTACTTACAAAGAATAATATGCAAATAGTAAAATCTAACTACTGTGTACTATTTTCTGCAATTGGACTTCATTGTTTTGAGTTGGAAGAACAAAAATGCATTATACTACATAATGGTTAAAAATAAAATGACACATCTACACAATATATATTATGTTAAATTTTCAAAAAGTTATGCTGGTTTTTCGTATTGTGTATATATTTGTTTTTAATTACAACAATTAATTTAATTATGAATTTTTACAGAATATTTTCTGATTAATTTAAAACTGGTCTACGAATTCAATTAACATGTTTGTCTTTTGGTTTTAACTACAAGGAAAACTGTATATTATATTTATGTAAAAAGGAAAAATTTGAAAGAAAAAAAACCATTATATTTAATAATTATTTTTATCTTATATAAGTAATTTGAATTTTTCGAATCTTTAATCACATTAACTAGTTAAACAATTAATAATCATTTAAAATAGGTATTGTGTAATTTATATTCTTATCATTTTTTTTCCTAATTCTTAGTCACATAACTACATAGTATGATATGTTCGGACTTTGGTCTCCCATAATTTATTATTGAAATCCGAATTTTAAAAAAATTAAAAAAAAACCATAATAGGCATATTAAATTAAGATATACTAGTTTGGACAACCTATATTTATCGGATTCACCTACCCCTATCTGTACGCCACCCCCGCCCTCCTTTCGCATTCACTCCAAATTCTTAGAGCACCATTTTTTTTTGGTTTTTGTTTAACGACATTGCTCGTGCCACACACACGACTGAGCGATCTTAACCGCCGTGTCTTGTCTGCGCTGTATATTATTATGCTAAGCAAGCGGTCGGCGGAGGGTTAAGGTATACTGCGGTTAGCCGTATGTAGAAATGACGAAAATAGTGCATTAACTACTTTGACGTCGGTGTCCCCGGGCCCCGGGGGGGTTGTTGTCGCGCGCAAAAGCTAATTGCTATTACCCGACATCCGAAAACCCCGAGCACACCGCCGCCACACGGTGTTCGTCAACCGAAATGAACTGTCAAGAGGTTACCGTGGGCATTGTCAAATGCGGGTAAACGCATTAATCATCGACGACGAGAGAGGAGCGCCGGAGATAAAGAGGCGCACACAAGACGGAGACGGCGAGGAGCTGTTGGGAAATTATCTTCTTCTTATCCGCGCGCCGTTTGTGTGTCTCTTTGGGGCCGCCGCAGAGACCAGAGGCAAAATGGATACGAGATGCATTTTTTAGACAGACGAAGACTTAATTAATTTCGCTCGCCCTCCCGCCCTCCTCGCCTCCACTCGATATGCTCCTGCTGTTCCTGCGTGTTATCTTATACATTTATACCGGGGCTTGCATATCATTCCCCGGCGCGGTTCCGGTTTCCGAGTTTACCTATGCAGAACACCGCGATTAATCATTCGAGTAAACTTTACCGGGCCTTACATATACATAATAATATGGTTTCACTCCCCATTGTCTTACAGCACCCCCCTCCCCGCACCCGGAGTACCTCTAATCTAGTCTATTAAGATTTGTCTTAATCAGGTAGGTACACACACACTCGGTGGGAGGCTTGGGATACTTTTAAACTTAAAATTAGCGCTTTTCCAAATACCTTACGTTTGTTTTTAAGGGTGAGATTTGGTGAAATAAAAAATAAACGTAGCGCTATATTAAAGTTTTAAGGTTTTTAGAATCCCAGCCCTGCCCCCCCTGATCTCCGCCAACGCCGGCAAGAACCGTTGATTGTACCGCGGCCCGAAAGAAATCGTTCTTATAATATGCTCTGAAGCACCGTGAAGAAGCCACGACGTGCACCGCAATAGTCATAAATCAGATATAAATCATAAAAAAATAAAACACATTTTTTTTCAGTAGAACGTTTTCTCGATAGATTCTCGAGTACAATGTTATATTGTTTTACAATAGGGGTTTAAAAAAATGAACATCATTTTTCTGGGTAGTACTGTTCGATTATATTATAAATAATATAATTATTGTTTCAGTTTCCACGCAAGCCGGCCGTAAGTATCATAAAGTGAATTTCGTAGAAAATCATTATAGCCCGACAACCTACCACAGAGATGTATTTTATGGTTTTATTACCCGGGTGATTGTTTTATTATTAGGTGCATAACACCTATTATGTCTCCATGACAAAGTCTGTGTATTGGGTCAATAAGGTCTATCTGGTCGGGAAATTGTTTTTTTGTAGAATTAACGAAACGCATTTGGAAATTTTTTTTATCAGAAACCGTCGATCTTGATAGGTATGTGTCAGAATGGTCAAATACTTTGTCGGTCGTCTCGTTTAATTAATTATTATACTGCCACGTCATTAAAGGTTTTACGCGGGTTTTGTATTTTGGCAAAATGTAGTTGTAGCAATAAATAACGCGTTGTTGCCCCGGAATTATGGTTGCAATTAAACACTAATGGTGCGATTAAAATAGTTCTGAACCGCTTTTAAATTGCAATAATAGTGTAGTGTATATTTTACTTACCGGGTTGTACGGCGCAAAATACGTTTGTCGGTGGATGTAGTAAAAACATCAGCAGGGTTTGTAAAAACCTCATTTTAGCGCTTGACACTTAAGTCCCTGTAAAGGGTGGCGTTTAGAAACTGTGCGATTAAATAATAATCAAGACTTAGATTAGCCGGGCCGGGCGCGTATACAGTCTTCTCAAACCTAAAACCGCGGATAATTAAAACATATCTAAATATCACACGTTATATTAACATATTATCATGTATATATATATATATATTATTATTATTATTAAATCTATTTTACAATTAGGTAATATTTTGATTATGTACACGTTTTTCGATGGCGGCGGCTTATGTGTATAAAAATAACAATAATATTATCGACAATGAAATAAATAGTAATCAACGGTTTCGCCTTGTCTGTGACCCTCTTCCCCGCCGTCAGTAAAGACGCATTTTGCTTTCGCATCGTTTGATTTTCTTCACGATCCTCGTACAGAACTCGGGCGACCCGAGCACGTCGCCCAAGAACACGCTGAGCATGTAGTATTTCTTTTTCGACTCGCCCGTCTCCATGTAACCGCTGTAAAAAAAACATATATTACATACACGGTGTTATAGTAATTAGTATTACACGGTTGTTGTGTGCAGTGTGTTACAGGGGATGATCAGGGGACGAGGTACAGTTCATTATAACAATATTAGGTAGAGTGTTAGGTTTCTTTAACCGAAATTTCAGGGGGTCATTACTGTCGGAGAAAATTAAATTAAAAAAAAAATTGTCTTGAGAAATTACTGGGTCGCGATCACTGTCGAAGGATCTGAAAATTATACATTACATTAATACGACCTGTTTAATTACTTATGGAGCGGAGACATGGCCGTTAAGAAAAAGCTATGAAAAAAAATACCTTGGTTCTGACGCGGAAAAAGCTGATTTTTGGACATGTTAAGGACACGCTAAGTGGTGAGTGGAGGATAAGGAAAACTGGAGGCAATGTTGTACGTCGGGATAGGCCTAGTGACTGATTTACCCGAGAAGAAGAAAAAGTTATATTTTCATAACAAAAGTAGAACAATTTAAATTGCATTAGTTGTATTTTCACCCGACGAACGCGTTTTTTTTTTTTTTGGAAACCTTTTTTTTAAAAACAACCAACAGTGTACACAAACAAACTGTAACCGGTCAACAGACTGTCGCGCTTGAAGAAACATAGTGCACCGTTTTTCGGTCCGGCCACACGAGGGTAAAATTTACATAGAAGCGAGGTAGGTTAGGTTAGGCTAGCCGGGGAGACATTGTAAGTACGCCACCGGTGGGCGGTCGGGGTGGGGTGGTGTACGTACCTGATGATTTTCTCCCAGTCCATCTTGTCTTCCTTGTCGCCCTTTTTGGCCAAGGCCGTCGCCTCGGCGTACGCTTTGCACACTTTCTCGTAAACGCAAGCGTCCGGTCCCATTTCCTTCAGGATCATCTCCTGCGCCTTGACCGTATCCAGACCGCCGGCGGCAATGGCGCCCGACACGTCCCGCTTGGCTTTCGACCTCCTGTAAGTGCCTGGCAACAATAAAATGTACACAATGAGACAAACAAAAAAAAAAAAAAAAAACACACACACACATGTCACATAAGCGATTGTGTGTGTGTTATAACGGCTTAATCAGGTGCGCGCGCTCGCGGTGTTCCTACAAGCCGTTTTGCGCAACGTCATTGTTGTACAGACAAATATAATATTATTATTATATTATAACTCTGCACACTATGGCACACATACAGACAACACACACACATTTGTATGTGTACACTTGACGGTAATGACACATAAGGATTTACAATAAGAAACGGTGGTCTTAGCACCGAGTTTGCGTAATTACATACACGATTGGCCAACGGTCACGTGCTGTTACCGCCGTCGCAGTGTTTCGTCGCACTTACTAGAACTACTACTGCAGTAATGCACTCCATTAGCGCGTCATCCTTATTAGATAATAAGTAATACCTAGTAACAATAATAATGTACCTAACCTGCTCGCCTGCTATATTATTATCATATTATACGCCGTCATTGTTGTGCGTCCACGTTAAACGCGAGGACGCGCCTAATTAAATTCGATCGACTACACAATAAATATATATATGTAATAATATACTACAACTAGATATATGAAAGAAAACCATTTAAAAATGTACTTTGGTCTTTGACAATGACAAATTTCAGTATCAAACTGTATTAATGTATGACAAGCTCCGAAAAATCGTTTGGTCTAATCCAAATAGTTTAAAACAGCACACTAAATGACAGTAAATCACATTTTAGCTGGTAATATTTTCCAATATAATCAGGTTGAAATCTCCCCCAAAAAAATTTCGATTCACGTTTAAAACAAATATATTATTGTTATTCAAATATATAAACGGGTACAGACCTCATTACACTTATATTATTATGGATATGCTAATTTTTTTTCAAATATTCTCAAAAAGTATTCAAATTTAATAACTTTACAAGAATTTTTCAACAAGCTCAACAAAAAATACAGAAAATTGTTTTAAAAAAATTGGCGATTGATAAAATAAAAATTATTCAATTATTGTAACTTTTGGCAGATGAGATTGAAATTTTTATTTTCTGTGAATTTTGTTTTACAAAACCCTGTAATACTTTTTCAGTTTTAGTGTTACAAGTTTATTTTGACGTTGAGTGGTTTAACTTAATTTTGCCCAACATTGGCATTGGGATTTTTGGATTTAAGAGATACAGCGAGTTACACCGCTACATGTAAAATATGAAAAAACAATAATCAGAGCTTACAGTATTGATCATTTTTCCCTTGACAATTTGCCCTATTTCAACTGGGCAGTTGGAAATTTCGGCTACACCGCATTTCGGAATGTCGTCCTTCGATTACCATAACGTTACACTTATTATACATCTCTATCCGACGATTAGACAATATATTATCTACTACATGGTGGTGAACAAGCTGCTGCAGCCGGACTCGAGTGTAGTGTATATTATTATGTTTATGTAAGGTCGGCCTTCTGGCCAATTGTTTTTCGTTTAATATGTAGGTATAATAATACAATATTGTGTATTTCGATATGGACACAACAGATTATAATATTACAAGCGTTGGTCGCTTTCCTAACGCTTAATTGACCGCGAATTACCGAATTTCTTGGGAAACCCGGCCGGTGTTGATCAAGAACAAATCCGCCTACAATACACGTTATAACAGGTGTGTATAGCAATGCGTTAATTTAAAATTACACCTTGTACACAGCCGCGGGTTAATGTGCCACGTGTTGCGCCAGTAAAACGCTCGGTCAAGTACAATAGGTAGGTATACGATTTTGACTGGCAACAAAATTGCAAAACAAACCAACTACGGTCAAAATCGTCATCGTTTAAAGAAGAGTGTACGTGCGGTATACGCAGACTATGTTTGAAATGTAAAAAGAAAATCAAAAACTTGCGCTCATAACGTGAAGACGCCGCGAGACCGGAATACATAATAATAATATGTTATGTTGTGTTGTGTATGATGTAAGAAAGAGGTGTACCAGTTTGGAGAATTAACGTTACGCGAGTCTTGCGAGCTACTTATTATACTAACGTCGGTTCGACCAAAACCGCTTTTTAGGTAATCTGCCTGCTGCCCGGTTTGGGCTGTTCGTGTACCATTGGTTATTGGCAAAATTGCCAGCGTTGGTTCAAACACAGAATAGATAAAAAAGCAGAAGGGTCACTTTCATGTAAACAAAAAATAGGACGACCGTTTTGTATAAAGGCCTGTTTAGTATAATGTGTTACACAACTAGTCTTAAGGGGAACGGAAAGCGTCAATTTTTTTAACAAATAAAGACTAAAACGCGGAGTCACTTTCTGAAGTGTCTATGGGAGCTAAAAGGCTGATTTTTTTATTTTTGTTTTCAAAAAATCCTTATAAGCGTTTTTATTTTTACTTTTCAATAGTTTTTCTAATACATCTAATTAATCGCTAAATAAAAAATCGACCTTTTAGACCTCATAGGAAAAATAGTAAGCTTTGCCAGAAAAAAAAACAACTTAATACGCCAGAAAATGACTTGACTCGAAGAAAAATAACTAGAAAAGTATTACCATTAGAAAATTGTAATATGCGCGTTCACCTTGAAATTATAGTAGGCGTATGAAAAACGGGTATTAGATCATTTTATGTCAAATATTGCCTATCCTTTGCCCCTTAGTGCTTTCCGTTCCCCATTCAGAAGACGGCAAACGTGTCTTACCCGTGTAGACAGCGGAGAAACGGAATAGCGCCTTTGCAGGTAGGTACACAAACCGTATAAAATATAATATTGTCAGAGTTGCGGATTTCGGGAATTGGGATTGGAAAAGCAGAATATACCTATTACAGCATATTAGTATACTTACTCGGACTCAGGGAGTAGGCGAGTTTTTTGACAAAGTTGGACATTTTCACGGCCATGATGATGACGGGGAAACCGATGAGCTGTACGGGCAGCTCGAAGGGGCTGTCCTGGGCCCGGACGCCGGTGGTCTTCCACGGCGTGTCGACCGTGGCGATCAGCAGCAAAGTTTGGGCGACCAAGAGGCCGGCGACGGCGGCGGACGGCACGAGCTGTTTCATGGCGGAGATCCACGGGTGCACTAACGACATTACCGAAGAGTGAAAGTGACGATTGGCAGGCCGCCGGCTTTTTGGCTAAAAACGAAAGTACCCGCAGAGCGGTGCGGTTGTAGTGTACCTACAGTATTGCATTATGTAATCGGCGTGGAACCTTGAAAAACCGGGTGGTGCTGGCGGTGGCGCCGGAAGTGGGAGTTGTAGGTACGGGTAATATTAATGTTATGTTCCTCCGGCAAACCGCGGCACAGTACGGTAATAATGACCTGTGTGTGTGTGTGTGTGTCTGGGATTTCCGCAATACAAGAAATCATTCACTTCCTATAGCCTTTCGCGTTGTACGTATGTACTGCACTGACAAACCTAACCCGCTGCGACCGACGGCGGCGGCGAAAGTTTTACACTCCAACATTCCGTCGCCGCCGTCGTAGAAATCAGGCTCTAGAAACGACCAAAATTGGATTGACCTACGGTGCAAACTCGACCTAAAAGGTCCTGTATAGTATATAGTATCCTCGACCTTGTATAGGTCAACATTTGTCATCGAAGAACCCTTTCAAACCTCCCCTCGCCCCCCCCCCGCCGGCACATAGAAAGCGCTACTGCGTTTAATTTTAATAGGAAATCAAACGTGACACACCAATTGAAGGGGTGAGTGGATTCATAGTGTTAACTGACAATTTCAAAAGTACTTGTCAGGAGGCAATACTTTAGACAACGAATCCATTTACAAACAAATAATAATATTTTGATAACGCACCTTCATCGACTTTAAATTTCCGAAAATAATGATTGAAATGTGTTAGCTGTATAATATTTTGCCGGAAAACTTAGTACAAATATAATACCTATGTCATAATATTACTTATAGTCATAGGTTCGGAACACTTTTCTGTCAAAATTTACATTTTTTGCAACATAAATTAAAACTATAACATTTATACCACTAAACAGACAATTATTGTGTACCAAGTTATCCTACTTGGAACTTTTCCCGGATCAAAAAGTTCTGAATAATTCAGTAAAATATTGTGTTTTGTTGAACACGTGAAAAGAAAACCTCTTTTCATATATTTTTTAGACGATCATATTATTTTATTTACATTTTTATTTTAATTAATTCCTTAACAAAATGTATTTTTATTTTTATTAGCAAAAATTATAAAATTTAATGGGAACCCGTTCCGAACCCCAGCTGGGGCTTATAATATAATCCACAAAACTTCAACGCAACAGTAAGAACATTTTTTTTTTAATTTGAATTTGCTAAGAAAAGGAATTCAATAAAATACATTGACTTCGCGGTTGTTGTATAATATTATGATCTTGACATTTTTTTTCATTGTATTTATTTATTGAAATTATATAAAATAATAATTGTTCAACAGAAACGTATGCGGCACGTGACCGACAATTATTGCGCGTTTGACTAGGTTTTAGAAGTTGAGGTTGAGTTAAACGTTTTGCTTAAACAAATTAATATCTTATCTTTTGTGCAATTATGTTAACTATAACTGCCGATTTCAATATGGGATATGGCACTGTTATTTGTTATTACATACTTTTATTTGAACGATGAGCAAAGACAAAAATGTTATTACCATTGAAATGAGTTGTAGTTTGTTTAATGCTATACGAAATATAGAATAGGTTAGCTGTTGTTGTTACTGGACATTGGCCGTCGATACTTAAGCTAGCTTGATATAACTGTCAATGTTAGCACACCATAACTGTAATCGTTCAGCACTATCTTCGAAAACAAACAAGTCTGTTTAGATGCAGCTATATCGGTATAGTTTATTGTTTCAACTCTCAACTTTCCTTGTAAATATTCCAACTGGGTTTAATTTTTTTTCTTTAAAATAATTTTGCAATAACCTTTACCTGAATAACAAAAGGTAACTTACATAATACATTTGTTTCAATACATTACCGACATTTAAAAATTGGTCTTAACGTTTTACCGATTACACTATATCGTCAGTGCCAAGTGTTGTTATGTTTAAATCCGTTCCAATTGGATTTCATGAACTGTTAAAATGTATAGTAAGTAAAATGTATTGGATATTTTTTTATTTGTAATTTACCAATTAATGTATCTGTAGATTTTAAGTAATTTTTTTTTTAAATTATCTTTGCTCATTGTACGTTATTTAATAATAGTGTACACCAAAAAAGTAATAATTGTGGGATATGCGGTAAGTGAGAGTTCTCTATTAATAAAGTGGGCATTGGATAATATTCGATGCTGACGCCTCCTGAAATCTACAAGCTCTAATTGCTCGACGACCAATCATTTACACGAGATGACGAATATCTTATATTATATGGGTTGTGGTTATTTATTATGGTAAAGGTATATAGACACGGGTTTGTCATTTTACATTACCCGCATGTAACACGCTGAATATATATTGCTCATGTACTAAAATATAATACCTATATGTTTGTATGTTGTCCGTTAACGCGTTGTTACCGAGTCAATCACGGGTTAATTGATTACACCTATCTTATAGGAAACCGCGTTCACCATTCCATCCGAGGAATAAAATGGAAAGTAAATAAAACAAATCAAATCGTCATCGCACCGAGTTCATTGCACCCGACGTGCCGTTTTATAATTACTTTGTTGATGAGTTTTGGGTTTATTAATTGGAACGAGTTTCGATATTGGTTGAAAACCGGCAAACGATTTTAATTCGAATAGTTTGGTTTTGGTTTTTTTTTGCACGGTTTTTATTGTAAATCTCCAAAAACATATTGTTGCTTTGCATCGAAAGCAAATAGACTTATGTAGGTATTTTCGTAATGTCATTGTGTTTAAGTATTCCAGCGCGATCAGTGAAGTGTATATATATAGATTAAAATTTCTAACGAGTAGGTCTATTTCGTGATAGACTCTTTGATTGCGGTACGCCAGTTAGACTACCAAACATGTACCATTCAACCAGCTTTGGTGTTGAGGAAGAGATAACCCCTAAATCTCAGCCCCTGATTTGATATTGGGTAAAAAACGGGTCACGTTAACTTTGATGGTTTACCAATGCTGGTATGCTGGTAGTGTCTTGGCCAACGATTAATATACTTCTAGATCGGACTTGTGAAATCTCACGGTTATCGTCTACATACCGAATGTAAATATTTTTGCATACACAATAAAAAAAGGCGTTTTTTACTATGTATTTTTTTTTTTATTATTATTAGCTGATGTTTATCGATGATGGGTAGCTCCTACCTACCTAATGAAACGGTCGTTGTTGTTGCTGTTGTTTTCGCAACACCGATTGTACCGCCTACAACAGGCCTTCGACCGTGAGTGAAGCGTGACAGCCGCGTACATAACATAGGTCAGTACACTCGGCTCGGATGTAGCATAATAATATTATGTACATTTTGCAACGACGATGATGAACGATGATAATAATAATTGTATATTATTCGGTACCTCCGTTTAATCCAATAATAATGATATAGGTAATCGTTACGGGGCAAACGTGATGAGTGATGGCGATGATCTAGTGATGGACTTGATTCGGTAGTTGCGCGTGTGCTTTCGTTTTCATTGTACGGTTTAATTGGTTTTACCACCGTGTGTAATATACCAAAACAATAGACAGGTATATTACAATACCTGTATATATAATATGCGACTGACTGTGCGCGGATTACCTAAACACCGTTTGGATGTAGTTTTTTTCCACAATTTTTTTTTCATTTTCCACCGCGATAGGTAATTGTTTTCCCCTCTCTCTCTCTCTCTCTCTCTGGATTTATAAGCCAACGCTACAGCTGCTGTACTGCGACGTGTGATGATGTACAATGTACTCCATTTACCGCCGGCGTGTGTTCAGACATCGGCGCGATAGTGATGTCATTATTGTGAAAGTTCAAAAGGCAAAAAAAAATACCTTCCGAAACGGTTTCGGTCCAGTGGGCGATCTCCGGACGAAGGCGTGTAATTTTCGCGCAAAACAAAGCGTAGGAGGAATCGTCGTGGCCGGACTTGGCTTGGCGGTTTATCCTGTTCATTCGAAATCGGTTGCCAGTGCGATTCCAGCGTGTATGGCGAACATGGCCGGCTCATCGTTGTGGTGCGTTTTGGCGCTCGGCGCCGTCTTTGTCGCCGCTCAACAGGGCAACGTCTCGACCGCACACACCGTAGACGAATTCGTCCGGTAAGTAATCACTTAATAAAAACTTCAAAAAACTTCCCGAGATCTTTCCATAGCATAAGTATACTATATTTTATCACCGATACACGCCACATGCACGTCGACGATGACTTGGATAATAATATCATAATCATTACACCTTACTATTCTCCATACCTTACCTATTGTAGATACTTATCACGGCTTGCGTGCAAATTTTAGTAGCCAGAAATTCATAATAGTCTCCTCTATACGTCATGTACAATGTGATGTATGACATTACGGTTGTCGAGCATTGTTTCTGTATTTAAATAAAAAAAAAAATTCAATTGTGATATTTGTGCACTATACCATCGATATATAGGATTGATATGGTATAGCTGTCGACTAGATGTGTTAAAAAACGTTATTTTATAAATAAATCCCTAAGATAAAGGTATCACGTTATTATACTCTCACACATAAACTCTAAGATGTGTATCATGAACACTTAAAATTTTCTATATTTCCGCGTCGCCAGAATTTGTGTTTTTTTTTTCCAAATGAGAACCCAACTTTGTATTATAAATTTGGATGAATCAATTTTTTTTTTTTGCCAACTTGACACATCAAACACATCTACACCGAAAATTTCCTCAAAGCGATTGTGATTAAATATTTTTTTGAATATTGAAAATGTTGTGTTTGCTGCTTGATGTCTTTGGAGTCTAAAATTTACATTAGGTTTTAGACTGGACGGTGACATATTAAGATAGAGTAAATTAGACAGCAAACAAACGGGTGCTGTTTAGAATAATAGTAAAAAAAGTTATTACCTTATTAATAGCATAAGATTCCATTTGGAAAGCACAAAGAGATAAAAAAAAACTTAAATGGGAATCCAACCATAGCAGGAATTAAAATATTCTTGTGAAATATTACACGATTGAGTTGATGCGATTGGCGGTCACTGTTTGTATTAATTAAAATTTTGTAAGAATGTACAAGTTATATAAGACAATTGTTTGAATAACATTTATTAATGTGCTGAAACATGGCATAAAGGCGGCCCGATGCCTTTTAACCGAACTCCCACGATATTAAATGTCCCACGACGTATCCGGGACTTTCTTTTGTAGGTGGTCCGCTCGACGTCTCTAATCGTTTGGATTAAAATAATTTATAATCTCTCTCTTTCGCTGTCTATTACATTTTTGTTTTTTTTACTATCGTTTATTTTTTATAATATGTATAGGTATATAATTTTTATACAAGAATTTTTTATGATCATGTGGGGGGTTACTATTATACAAAGATGAGTGATTTTTTTTTTGTTTTGTTCTAGTTCACTGATGGATATGATAAACTCGGCTATAAGCACCGACGCCAGATATGCTCAATTTTCTACGGCCAACGCCGTAGCCGACAATTCCATTTCACGACCCAACCAAAGACCGTTGGAGTCGCAATCCTTTCAACCGGGTGGTCGGCCGCTGAAATTTTTGGATTACCTTCAGGGCCTGCAGAACCTCCAGAACCAACCTTATGCGCCAACCGATTTCGCACAACCCGGGTTCGCTCCCAACGGTCGACCTTATCCGCCGCCAGACTTTGCACAGAACGGCGGTGGACCTGTACCGGGATTCGCTCCACAACCCGGTGGACCGTTCCCACCGCTAGGCCGACCCCCTTATCCGCCGCCACAACAGCAACACGGTCGACCTCCGCCGTATCCCTATCCCTATCCGAACCGACCGGGACAATACCCTCAGTCGAATTCCGTCTTGCAGGCGTTGGCTTCGATATCGCAACACGACGACCTTAGGTGCGTGCCGAGGTTGCTGTGTGAAGTTTCGTCGGGCACGAGGTCTTCCAACTACTACAGACCGAGTTACCAACAGCAACAGGGCCAGTCGTCCATACCGTTCCTCACCAGAGACGCTCTGATCACGTGAGTGCGCAGTTATTTACAGATAAAAAAAGCCAGTACAGAGGGGTGGTCGAGGAACAGTGGGGAGGGTTGGGTCACAGAACTGAATTTAACCGAAAGTGATCAAATCACTGATATACATGTATTGTCTATAATGCCTTTGAAATTGTATTTTTAGTTTAAGTATGGATACGATTGGGGTAGGTCTATAATGCCATATAGGTTCCTTATATTTTAACAGTACAATGAAATAATATGTTTCAGAAATCCGTCGACTTTTGGTTCAATTCAACCATAGCAACCTACCTATTAATTTACTGCGGTCAAAGTGTAATTTTTCCCATTCTGTTTGGTTTTTCTTTAATAAATAAAAAGTTTGACTAAAGGCAAAAAGAATATGTTATAGCCCCGCACTAAATCTATCTTCAGTCTAATTTTCAGGTTAAAAATTTACTAGGAAAAGAGAAACAAAGAAAAAGTATTCACCCTTATTCTAGGGGAAAGGGTTTTGTGTGTTTTTTTAAATAATTTTTTATAGGCACTTTCTGATGAATATTCAGTACAAATTTTGAGTTAATTAGACTATTTAAATTAATGTGTTTTTTTCAACTTTGAAGAGAAAAGAGGTGGACTTTTTACAATTTTTGGCCTTATAAAATACCTTTCATGTACGATTTCTGATCCAAAGAGTTGCTATACACGAAGACATCGGTTAGGTTAGTTCGGGAGATCGAAAAAATAAAAAAACAATACCTAATAATTCTCGACGGTGACGAAACGCCGACCGTATTTCAATCAACGTCGAGCACAAATGGTTTATTTTATACAATAATATTCCTATTCCTTTTGCTATAAATCACTGGAGCATTGACTGGGGCGGCCGGTGCTGTTATATAGATAAGAAATGAAAAATTGTCTTCGACACGCGAAAACGTGCTTGTTGCTCGGTTCTAAGTACCGAACGGGGAGGGTCACACGGCGGGTAAACATTTTGGCCGGGCTTAAATCGAAATTAACTTGTTTCGACTACCGCTTACCGCCACCCCTCCCCGCCACCGTACGATATTTATTGCCGTATGACTTGAAAATGAACAAAAAAAACAAAAACCGCGGTACGATGAAATAAACATTTTTTGCCGACAGATTAACGACATCGCCGCGATGATTCCCCCAGAGAACCCTTTCATTGATCATTCCTGGAATAAGCTGTTTTCTGTGTACAGAAGATTTACGGTCGCGATTTTTTATTTCAGTTTTGTTTTATAATTCATCCGATAAACGGTGTTTGACTGCACTCGGCGACGCTATACATTTTAAAAGGATCTTGATTTTTTTTTTGTTGTTGTACAAGCAGATGAAATAGTTGCACATGCACTTTGTCATATTTTCAAAAACGTCGCTTACCTACTTAACTCTAAAGCGGCGACTGGACTCAGACTATACCTACTTGAAATTTAGACACAGTTTTGACATTCCTTAAATTCTTAGTATGATTGCTGTAAACGGTATGTAAAAAAATAAGAATATTATATTTTTCCTTAGTTGACACGCAACGGCGCCAGATATTTATTTTAAAATAAGGCACATACAAAATAAAATTTTTAAAAAATTCTATTACTTATCTAATTATTATTGTAGGTGACACACTACACTGGGGTGACGTAGAAATTTGATTTGGGCGCCTGTCACAATTGCCAACCAAAAATAATCTTTAGCTAGTATACCGGCTCATATATATATATATATATTATATTTTGTAGATTATTATTATCATGGTTAATAGGGTAAAGCGTGTCGGTAAATATTTTCATACACACAGTACAGTAATAAGGATACGTTTCTGACATCTGTCATGACGATTGTGCGTGACAAAAACGTGTCACGCATTGTTTATAAACACCAAAGTGTACATATTATATACTATTAATATTATGTACAGTAGTAAGGCAGTAATATGATGGTTTTTCTCCGGCCGGTAGCCGATGAGCTGTAAACGTTAAGTCATTCTGACATTGTTTTTTGTAGGTAATAATATCGTGTGGCACACATGTTCTGCGTGGGTCTTGCGAGAGAGTTGGCGCGTACAAAGCGATTGCGGCTTTCGTTTATTTTTTATTTCGATGACTTTTCACCGTAGATATCTAAATCCTTGTGCGTTTGTCGTTCTGCACAGGTTGCTGACGGTGTTGAACTTCGTGGACGACTCGCCCCTGCTGATGTTCGGCCGGGCCGCGCTTCTGGGCTACAACTCCCGCAACGATCCCCGGTCGTGCCTGGCCGCGTACCCCACGTGCCCGCGGGACCCGGACCGGCTGATCGACTATCTGAACAACCACAACGGCGGGTTCTTCAGGTTCTTCAACCAGCAGATACCGCAGTACGCGCCGCAATACGCGCAACAGTACAACGCCTACAAGACGCGGGCCGACAAGGAGCTGCGGCCGCGGATCCTCAGCGGTCAGCCCAGCCAGTACTACGAGGTGCCGTCCGCCTACGACCTGCCCCTGCAGTCGGCCACCAACAAGCCGGCCGTGTTCCCGGACTACATCAACGGCGGCACGTACGCCAACAGCTACGTATCCCAGTTCAAGTTCCCGTCCAACCACAGGCGGGGCAAGAAGCTGACGGAGCCGGCCAAAATGATTTTCCCCGACCGGACCGGCACGGGCGGTCTGCGAGCCGACCTGGACCAGTACGGCAACTACAAGGGGGCCTACTACGACGCGGAGACCGTCAAGTTCCAAGACCAAGGCCACGGCGCGTCGTCCAACAAGATGAAGTTTCCCGACGAGTTCGAAGTGGGCAACCGCACGCCCTACAGCAAGAAGCACAAGCTCAAGTTTCCCAGCCAGGACCAGCGCGTGTAAACGCAATATCTGTACACCTACCCTCCCCCCCCAGACCTAGGTAGGTACCTATTTTTTAAATACAACACCCCCCCGTTTAAAATAATGCCCACCCGTGACCTAATTTATTGTATTAATAATTTTAAGACATTATAATATTTCTTTTTCCCCCTAGAAATAATGAGTCGGACGGCGCACCGCGTGATCACACAAAAACTCACACACATTGTTTTTATTTTTTGTTTCAATTACAACGCTCATTGTATATAATTTATTTTTTCTCTTTAATTTCTATATATTTACATATTCGTTTCCGTGTACAAAGCTTATAACTTATTAACGTACAATAATTATCGCTGTGTTTTATATATATATATATATAAATGTTTATGAATTATATACACCGTTAATTATTGTTACATTATAATATATATTATTGTTGTTGTATTAAAAAACCTGTGGTAACTGAAAAAACCTTGCAGACAATAGACCATACGTGCTTGCATACACAATGGTACCTAATGCAGGCATCACTGTTGAGGTATTTAAACATTGCGCACAAAAATTGTATGCAGTTGGCAACAGATGTGTACATAAACCGACTGAGTCAACGGTAATCCAAAAAAAAAACAATAAAAAAAAACTAGTAGTTTTGTTATTTTGATTCGATTGCGGATTATTGCGGTAGTAGGTACGTTTTTAATTTTTTTGTTAATGTTCAAATAACAATTATTTTACTGTTATAATAGACTAGATTGGGTACGGTCGTTTCGTTTACAATATTTTCACTTTCTTCATCATTTGCATGACTTGGAGGCCTGGAAACGGACAACCCGGATAGAAGTTATGGCAACCGGTACTGTCCACGCCGTTGATCAGTTGTCCCATGTGGGCGGCAAAGTGATACTTGGACGTTACTTCGGCCGTGGTCGATATCGTGGTATCTCTGTAAAACACGGTCGGATGAATTTCAATTATAAACAAATATATTATATGCTTGCAAAAAAATTATGACTATTGAAAAAAAAAAATTGCCCGTTTTCATTTGTACCTACATTTGTTCCCACCCAACATAATATCATTGGTGTATATTTTTTTATCGTTTTTACTACAAAATAATAATATTACTAACAAAAATCTGCTAAATTATTATTGTACCGAAATCGACTTAACGGTCGGATGAACAGACGGAACTGTTTATAATAATAATATGATCAAAAGCGAAAACAACCCCCAAGATTAAACAAAAAAAAAAAAAATCAGATTTGATTTCTGTATTAGACTTATAATGTTTATGATGAGTGGTTGTTTTTTTTTTTTGAGTATGTATATAATATAAAAATCATAAATAACCGTATACCAAAAGCTAACGTCTGTCGTGAGGCAAAAAAATAAAAACCGAATACGAACTTAAACTGCTCGCGTGTAATTCTCTCTTTTGTCAGGGCTGTATGTATATATTACAATAATATGGAAAAGTGAAGTTTAATTTTGCTCGGCGATACGATCTCGTGTACGCTTGATCTTTTCTTCGCTCAAATCCCCAAAGTGTATAATATTCCCTCCTCGGCCAAATCGTCCCCACACAGTAGGTATTATACAACGCGTCCGGGATTACTGCGTTAAAGATCTCCGAGCACACATACTATATTATTATTATGATATACTAGGAAACCGAAAAAAATAATCTTTTGAATATGCATAAAAACTCTTTAACTTCATTTTTTTCCCTCCATTTTACCAAATATTATTATTATTATTGTAGTTGTTATTATTGCATAGCATGTAAGGGTTGGGCTGCGGGATCAGAGCGATTACCGAGGCCTACTGTGTATGCGTTTTCCCCGCAGTGTTAAACCCTATTGGAAAAAATAATCTTTTTTTATTTATACCCAAGAGCGGATGCGAAGCATAGGCGCGGAAAAAGTGCTCATCGATAACGCGAATCGTTAAAATATAAATAAATAAATAATGGCGAAACGAAATAATGTTTTTATTTTTTGTGCATACACGGAGTCTCATTGGAGCTTGACAAAAATATAATTTATCTTATACCTATAACATCTATATGAGTATTAAATTGTTAAAGAGGTATTGTTGAACAACAACGGAAAACAAATTTGAACCTTAATATGTAATTGCATCAATTATTTTAATGGGATCAAAATAGTATGAGTTTGATTCTCCTGTAGACTGACCGTATAATGAATAATATTATATTGGAAAAATTACTGCTCAATAGACCTAGAAATTTTTTTTTTTTTTTGGATATGGGGTTGTTGTGTAGCTCAGTTGATTACACACAGGAACAAATATACAGTTGGATCAACTAAAATGATGTCACTAAACAACAATAATTGCTGGCATTATTTAAGTATAAAAAAAATATACTTTATAATAGTCTATATGCCTTAACATGATGATACTATCACAGAATAACCAGAAGGGAAACCTGGGACGCTGGACGGGACTGATAAGTAAAAAATGGCAGTCGGCGGCGGCCCATAAGAACCCGTGTAATTTCTTGTAATTTTTTCCTTCTGGTTATTCTGTGATATACTATAATGATAATAATATAGTAACGATGATAATAATAATATTATAAGGTATGCGCAGCGGCGGCTATTATTATTATTATAGTTACAGCGCGATTGTCCGCGGACGGCGCCTAGCATTAGTGTACATTTGTCATGCATCGATTGCCCTCCTCCTCACATAATATTATCGTGTCGGGTATCATAAATATTGTTAACCCGACGAGTGTTGGCGGTAACTCGCTTATATTGTGATGTAGTTCATCCAGACCGTGCCCGTATTATACAGAAAAATATATATATTATCATAATATAAAAATAAATACTTTTTAACTTTTTGCGACATTTTTATAAACGTATTATACTCTCTATACATATATATGGAGTTTTTGCGCGTGGGAGGAAGCGATGGCGCGCCACGTCTTGTGTATAAGATTTGCATATTATTCGGAGGAGATGTGGAAAGAATTTTGCAAATAAGCAATTATTATTGTTGTTATTATTGCGAGTGTGTGTTGTGTTGACGTATAATACATATATAATGGAATACGGAGACGTACTCGCCGCCGTGAAAGATTTATTTCTAATTTTTTTCCCTCCTTTTCCAGTCGTAAATAATACACTTTTGGGCTCTGACGATTTATGATTTCCATACCGTTCCCCGTCCGCATGTACACTATAGCCAAATCCGTTCGTCCTAAGTGCTCCAATACGTTTTATGGCCCGTAACTCTTCACAGTATATAGATATATATATTTTATCGTACACTTTTGCACACACACACGATCTGAATATAATATAATAATAGTAATAGTAATATGAAAACGACGTACAAAAGCGCGGTGCCGGTGTTGAGAGGTTGGTTGCGCAAACGGGAGAGATATCATATTATTATTAATATTGTCATTACGGTGTACCATTATCGATAGGTACAATGTTATGTACACGGATAGATGGTATCAGACATTGGCTTGTCGACCCGGAAGGAAATCACTAGCAACTATACATAATAATGTACAATAGAACCGGTTGTAATATTGGGCAATGCATAATTAAAGATTTGCTCCTGAATCGATCGTGATTATGGTACAAACGGCAAAAGATCAGTGCCGCAGCTAGAAATGTATATTTCTTTTTTTTGGGGGGGGGAGGCACTAGTTTTAAAGACTCATTATGATATAACCCGCGTACACTTTTTGTAGTATTGAAAAGCATTAAACGTTAAAACCGTTAAACGCTGAGCGCACCGATCAATTACACTAATCGATTACCGCGCAGCTATATCCATAATCACACGGATTATCATATTATTATTATTAGTCACATTACATAACAGACTTGTTGTCACGGTGTAACGCATAACGTGTGTAGTTATTAAACTATGATGTTGTTTACCTTATGAGTGACAACAGATAAATCTCGGATTCGGTCAACGCGTCTCTGTTGGTGGACGCCGTCAGTTCGCATATGAGTTTGGGCAAACAAGACTCCTTGATCGTGTTGATCAGCTTTGCTCTGTTGGCGTACGATTTGGCTAAACACAATCAAATAACGTTTGTATTAGGTATACAATGTTGTATAATAATCTCATTGGACATCGCCAAATTCTGAAACTGGCACGGACCAAGAATGAAAGTAGTTATTCGGAGTCGGTGTAACCAGTTTTTCGGTTTTGTTGTAACAAAACCGTGAGTACAACGGCTAGTAGTGACTATAAACACGATGATTGCGCAACCGAGTATAATATGCAAATCGCACGGCGACAGAATAACTTATTTTGCCGGGTCTAACAAAAAGGTTAATGGAACGTTAGCCATTCGTGTCAAAAGCGATCATAATTAAATGTTAAAACGATAAATTATTATTATCGTTTTTAGGTATTGCCTATTGGTTTAGATAAGGTCAAACGTGTGACATGTGTGTGCGTTTTATCCAGTTTCGAATATTGTGCGCAGGCATTTAGTTTTTGCTGTTGCGCGGCAGAAAAGTGATTTCCTTGGCGCTCGAAATTCGGGTCATTAGTTTGTTTATGAACATAATCGTTTGGATGTATACGATCCACTAATGATAATAGTTGTCGGATGAAATTGGTCGAATCGAAGGTCCAATGACGTATAGGTTATATATTATTGTAGACCGTGTGGTTAGAGGAGAAAACCAGTACACAAAACACGGTTTGTGTTCTCAAGGTTTTTTTTCCAGATCTCAACGCGACGAATTTTCTCTATCAGCGTTTCAAGGTCACGGCACGATTATTCGATTAATAGCGACAATATTTATTATCTCAGCGGATGCGATCGCGCGCAGGTACTTACCGAACGATTCGATTTCAGGAGCAGTGTCTTGGTCGTCCGCCGCGGTCCTTTGGGTGTTCACGGGACTTGCAATGTCGGTCGGTTTGCCGTATCCAGATTCGTCGAACAGATGCTTGAGTATACCGGCTAGGTCTCCGGTCAACAAGAAGAACAACACTATTAGCAGCGCAAACCGCGCCAACCCAGAGTCCATTGCTGCTGCTGCTGCCCCGGCCTTTGCGGATGAGGTTTATCAATATTGTTCATTTCCCAAACATCCTGCGTGTCACTGTGACGCGAACCGGTCGTTTCACAATATTAATGGTTTTTTTTTTTTTTTAACCGCGGCGTTTGTCCACTCGATACAGAAAGGCTGCCAAAACTGGTGGTGTGTAAAAATACAAAAAATCACTGGCCAAAGAAAACGTACGTTCCGACTGTTGTGCGGTAATGTCGTCGGTTAGGTACCGAACACGGGCAGCAACGCCGGCGTCCTTCGCGCGCTCCGCGCTCTCCCACTCGATCATATGCCTATTACTATGGCCTACTTAACGTAGCCCCCTCCGATCTGCCGGCAGTGATTTAATGTTAAAAAGTGAAAGTTAGGTTGGATAAAAAAACGCACACACAACGACTTAAACCATAATATACATATATATATATATCTAATAGCAGCCGCCAACAGCTCTTATCGCATCGCGTCCGATGTACCTAACCTACCCGTGCGGCAACAGCTGTGCATTGTCTGACGTCTATCGGCTATGTTGGCAAGGGAAAGGGGATTGGATTCTTATTGTTTCCATCACGTCCGATGATTAAGAACATTCCGAACGTTGGGGTTGGGGGGGAATACACGGATTGAAAAAATTAAAAATTGATATACCACCTATGCCTATGCCTTTGGGTCGCAACTGCTTCATATGTGTTGTATTGGTTGAGACTAATGCAATGTACAATTTTTTATTCCCACATAATACACTATCAATATTTACAGTTTATTACAAATTGCGTTAAGCTTTCAAATAATGTACATATTACGGTATTGTAAAAGCAATTAATGTCGTCGTCATTAAAAATTGATAACTGTTGCAATCCGATTTGTAATAATTAGACATAGCTGTTAATTACGCCAATATCCGACTGTAGTAACAATACATGTTTTGTTATTATAATATATTATCGCAACAATAAGGTAATAATATAAAATATGTATTATTAAGCATCTATATACAACCATGGTTATCTGTACCATCTAGATAACCACCTAGGGTTATAATTGTTTTGCTGTATAAGAATATTTTTACAGTAGTTGCTACAACACTTTTTAATATTTTAAGAACATTTCAAAATCGTATTTTGGTAGAAAACGTTTTTTAATATTAACAACAAAAATGGTTTAAAACATTAGAAATTCCCATTCGAACATTTGTGTTGTTAATATTTTATTTTCTGAACAGTTGTTATTATAAAATAAATTGTATTTCGCCGTGTGGAATTTTATTCAATTATATTACTCAACTTGAAATAGTATAATAATTTTATCCAAATATTTTTCACGATTGCACCTGTCGTACACTTTCTTGGACTTGCGGCATTTAGTAATGGAGGTAACGAATAACGAGTCGTGCCTGAAAAACAAATGTCGGTTGCTCCATCTACATACGAGCGCATTGCAAACAAGAGCAAAAATAATATGAGAGCCCCGACGATAGATTTGTGTGTGTACACAATAAATATTGTTAGAACTCTTTTGGAGTGCGGTTTAGACTTTAATGCCGAAGCCACGCGGGCTCATAGAAAATACTGTTCGAGTACATTAGCAAATAACGGGGGAATAGGGCGATTGCGATTTTTAACAAACTACATTGCTATAGTATATATATATATATATATATTTATATCATGGCACTGTTATATAGATACAGCAAATTCTTCTCTCGAATGCCCTTGGGTAACAAACAATTGTTGGCTGCTCGTTGCATAAGTCACATATTATACTCGGTGTACCTACTCGAGTGTGCACGCTCAAAAAAATACAATATATAATCTCCATTTCGCTTTTCTTCTATTCAATTAAAAAACAAACTCCCCTTTTCTCTTCGGCTCGACAACTCGATCCTTCCGCCTTTGTTTTATCGTTTAATTTCCTACGCTGAAGTGATGAAACAACGCATAATAATATATAATAACATTATAACGGGCGCGCCGATTGATTTTGATACTACAATAATATATTATTATTCAGCTTCATATTATTTTTGTTTTGAAATAGTTATTATTATACGTATTATAATACAAAATGGAAAGGAATACTCGAAACTATATCAGAGTGTATTTTGTGTATACGACCACACTAATGTCCTACAATAAAAATTAAAAACAACAAGTTGTGCTGTATTTTCATCAATGCCATATGGTCTAGTGGACATTATATTGTTGTTGTTATTGTTCAGCTAAGTAGACAAAAATTACTGTCAGATTGTGTAATAACATCAATTAAACTCTTCGAAGGGCAATACGTGTCAACATTCACCAATAAAAGACCCTTGAGGGACAAGCTATAAATGATAAAGTCAGCAGGATGATTGGAATAAAAAATGTATAATATAGGATACAACTATATATTATATAAGTGAGAAATCAAAATAACAAGGAACCGCATGCTGTAATGGTGCGCAATATCTTATTATTACTTATATCATACATTTATATATCATTTTATTATCTTATTCACTTTTATACTAGATTTATATTGTTTAATAATATCGTAGGTGTGTTTGGTTGACGATTTTGTGCAAAAAATAATATAAGTGGCTATGCACTTTAACCACTACCCCTAAGGGCCCATAACAAAAGGTGTTGATATACTACCACCGCCCCTCAATGATAATAATTAAATTAACAGAAACCGTTATAGTTTGAAAACGCTAAGATGTGCAAAAAGTATCGAAACCCATGTAAATAATTATTAATTGGTATTTAATTAAATTTTTATATTGTACCTTGTAAAATATGTAAGTTATCAAGACGTAATTTTGAAGTGCGTTATGATACATTAATCAATCAAGGTTAATGAGGAACTCTGTAAAAAATGTAACATTTTAATCATTTTTTTTTTTTGTGTATAAAACAAAAATGTCGACCATATACATTAGACTAGGCCAAAAAAAAACGAACAATTTTTTTTTTGAACGGTTCTATGAAAGTATTGTTTATCATAATAAAAAACAATTATGGTGAAAGTTAGAGCCCTTAATATTAATATTAAGATACCTATCATGACGACTGACGGTGTTTTACACTAATGGCATTTGTTATCCAAAACTCGTGAATTATTAGACTGAAAAATCCAATTGATACATATTCTTAACGGAAATTAAATTTTCTACAAAAAAGCTATCTATGTAAATTTTTGACAAACAAGCCGTTTTTATGGAAATCGTGCCTTGAATATTTAACTGTTTTTTCAAGTTTGGATTTTTGTAACTACCACCAATATTCCATAAAAACGGCTTGTTTGACAAAGACAGCTTTTTTGTAGGGAATTTTTTGGCCCAGTCTAATATACATATATATAATATATGCATAAGTGTGAGTTGTTGTTTAATAACTGATAATACAGCGCCACTTGCGTAAAAGCTTACCGGAAGCGCAGATGCGTTAAATTGTTTGTGCCGACGACAAATCACATACAAAACAAATAAAAAATAGTATAATAATAATATAATATGTTTGAGGCAGCTGCGGGTTCGATTTTTAAACGTTCAATTGCCGTATTAGACGGGATTTGTGGACAGTGTAATTTATTTAATCAGAGATAAACCTCGAACCTGTTCGCGCCGGTCATTAGCATAATATAATTTTGCCGCAAAGCCCATAGGGTCGGGGAAAAAAAAACAATACTATCGGTCTGAAGTGGTTCGGGTCGGATTACCGCGGGATTCACTTGTCCGCGCATTTTTTTGGAACTCAACCCCGGTGATATTATTATTGTCCTGCGATGAAGGGTACGCGATTATAGCTTAAACGAATTGCAATAATAACAAGCCGAAATCCAAAATGTCCCGGACCCCGGGTTTTTTTTCTAGATTTTTTTTTATCATTACCATATACTCTTTCCCCTACGGACACTCCATGGAATATTGTCTCCGCTGTATGCATTCAGGCTAATAAGTGCGTCCAACCCTCGGGCGAAAAACACAAGACGTCATTTACAATATTGGCGATATTGTCAAGTGCTGAGTAAACAACATACAAGTGGACTCCCAAGCCGAATTCGGGTGTGTATTTTATCAGAGTATATAAAAAAAAACTTAACGTAATACATAATAATATAGTAGCGTATCAATTATAATACACATAGTAAACAAGCCTCACAAAAAGCACCGTCGCTAAAAAAATCCTAAGTGTCCTCCAAGCTGTTATTGTCTTACGTTATTTATTTTACAACGTCATTTCTGGAATAGACGTTTTAATAAAGTGTATTTACTTTCAAACGAAGGAAACCGTGACGTTCAATACGAATCGCCGTTGTCACAAAAGCTTTCTATACATGCAGGTTTCTGAATGAAAAATCTTTAATTTATTGTTGCTGGATAAGAATTCGAAATGTTCAACACAAGCCATTTTTTCATAATTTTAGCACATAATCGAAAAATCAATCATTGAAATTCTACTAAGCACCCTGTATGTATTTAAATACAAGAATAATCTAACTGCGGCCTACGACGAAATTGAAACAGTCAAAGATGTTTTTGTCTAACTCGATCTAACCTAACCGTGAAGAATAAATGGCTTTAATGTAAAAAGACTAATAATTAATGTTAAGAGTGCCTACCTATGTATGTACACACACTGCGGTGTTCAAACAGGATAAACTTTGTGTTTGGTCGAGACTCGTTGTACTGGGTTTGTACGCTTTTTTTGTTAAAAACGTTTGAGTTAAACGTTTTTTCTTTTTTTTTTCTGTCAGTTTCTACAGACAAGCCCCGTGCACGTGTAAGCCAAGTACACATACTATATAGTGACACGTGGCCACGCCAAAATGAATATTGTATTACATCGGTAGGTTGCTCGCAAAAAAAAAAAAACAGACACGCGACATCAACCGGTTTTGAAAAAAACTAAAAAAAATTGCAACATCCCAAGCATAATATTATGTATATTGTACCGAAACACAAAAACCGTCAGATTGTCGGACTGGCCCGCGTTGTTCTTGGCGGATTAAATAAAAACAATTAACAAGTATAGCTAGTAAAATAGGACATTGTCCAAGTAAACGAATTCCGATTGTTAACGGTCGATCAATTAGGAGTTGTACCACTACAAGACAATCATTTCGGTATATACCGGGTGATTGGTTAACTATGGACCACTCAATATCTTAGAAGATATTACACTTTTAAAATTTTTTTTTTTTTATACTTTTATAGTAATTAGTTGGGACAAATTTTATATATATTTCAAAATTTT